ATTTTGATGTTTTTTTAAATTAAGAGATGAGGTATGGGATAATTATGCTGTATTTAAAGATGGTAGATAACCTACTAAAATTGTGGTATATATGTGGTTGTCCTTACTGGATCTTTAGTAAAGAACGTTTAATGAAATATTTTGATGCTTTTTTAATTAAGAGATGAGGTATTTAAAGATGGTAGATAACCTACTAAATTTGTTTTTACCTGTTGGGATGAAGTAAAAAGGTTTTTGTTTTCTTTCTCCTGTCCTTTTCTTCCCCCCCCCACATTTTTTTCTTTTCTATTTTTCTATTTGTAGTTTTTATAGTTTGCACCGGCTTTTTATTTCATAAATACGAGAAGGACTCAAATAGACATTGAGTATTTTATTTGAAAGTAACCTTTGAACCAGCGTCTTTTTGGGGGGGAGTTCAAAATGTTTTTGTTGCATGCAGAAATAAAAAAATTGTTTTCTTTGTAGCAGTTCATTGATCTCATAAATGCAACACACTATAGTTTTTTTAAACATAGCATAAAGGTAAAAAATGATATATGCAGTGTTATCTTCATTTTAGATGTCAAAAGGGTTTTGTGACTCCCAGTGTTTTCTTTTCTGTGGGAAACAGGTCCAAATGGCTCTTTGAGTGTTTAAGGTTGCCAACCCCAGTAGGAAAAGCTTTCTGCTGGAAATCAATTTCATCCACATTTTTTTTTTACTTTTCAGTAAACTTTTGGAGAGCTTAGGTCAGTGATGGTGAACCTTTTAGAGACTGAGTGCCCAAACTGCAACCCAAAACCCACTTATGCATCGTCGGGTGCCGGGTGGGTGTGGCCCATTGGGTGGGCGTGGCTGCGGTGGTAATGGCAGACTGGATGGGACTAAAAAGTTCAATCAATCAATTCCAACTTTGCAAGATCTTTTTTTTCCCGCAAGAAGTTGAAATTGACTGATTGATTGAACCTTTTTTTTTTTGCATACGGCGGCGGAAGCCTAAAGTGAAAAGGTTTTATAAAACCCAGCTGAAGGCCTAGGACTGGGGCGATGGCGCCCGTGCCCACAGAGAGGGCTCTGAGTGCCGCCTCTGGCACCCGTGCCATAGGTTCACCACCATTGGCTTAGGTAAAGGTTTCCCCTGTCCAACTCTAGTGGTGGTGCTAATCTCTGTTTCTTATCTGGGGAGCCAGCATTGTCTGAAGACACTTCCATGGTCATGTGGCCAGCATGACTATATGCTGAGGTGCATGGAACACCGTTACCTTCCCACTGAATTGGTACCTACTGTATTTATCTACTCGTATTTGCATGCCTTTGAACAGCTAGATGGGGCTCTAAGCCAACTCACCATGGCCAATTGCTGTTACCAACTTGCCACAGGACAGCTCGCCATGGCCAACTTGCTGCAGGACTACTTGCCGTGGGACAAGATTTACACCAATATTGAAGAATAATAATAAAGATAGAATCATTAAAGAAAGGATGCAAGAGGGACGGATTGAAATGTGAATGACAAAAATTAAAATATTATTTTAAATAATTAAATTGAATTGTTGAATTGTCCCATGGTGAGTTGACCCATGGGAAGTTAGCCGTGGTGAGTTGTCCCACACTGAGTTGGCATGGTGAGTTGACTGTAACAAGTCACCCATGGCAAGTTGACTGCAGCAAGTTGTCCCATTCCGGCTAGGTGGGCAGGAGCTGGGGCAAGTTACGGGAGCTCGTCTCATTGTGTAGTGCTCAGGTCTTGGACCCAGGCTGTCAGCTTTCCAGCTGACAAGCTCAGAGTCTTCAACTGCTGAACCATTGAGTCCCCTTGGAGAGCCTATGGAGAATGAAATAACACACTGATTTATTAATATTGGTCCATATATTATGTTTAATATCTGCCACTATTTTCAGATTCAATAGTTAACAATACTATAATGGGCCCAGTGCTCTTCAACATCTTCATCAACGATTTGGACGAGGGGATAGATGGGGAACTCATCAAATTTGCAGACAACACCAAGCTGACAGGAATAGCCAACACTCCAGAAGATAGGCTTAAGATACAGAAGGATCTGGACAGACTTGAACACTGGGCGCTATCTAACAAAATGAAATTCAGTGGTGAAAAAAGTAAGGTTCTACATTTAGGCAAGAAAAACCAAATGTACAGGTATAGCACAGGGGGTACCTTGCTCAATAGTAGTAACTTTGAGAGGGATCTCGGAGTCCTAGTGGACAATCACTTAAATATGAGCCAGCAGTGTGCTGCAGCTGCCAAAAAAGCCAACACAGTGCTAGGCTGCATTAACAGAGGGATAGAATCAAGATCACCTGAAGTATTAATACCACTTTACAATGTCTTGGTAAGGACACACTTGGAATACTGCATCCAGTTTTGGTCAACAAGATGTAAAAAAGATGTTGAGACTCTAGAAAGAGTACAGAGAAGAGCAACAAAGATGATGAGGGGAATGGAGGCTAAAACATATAAGGAACGGTTGCTGGAATTGGGTATGTCTAGTTTAATGAAGAGAAGGACGAGAAGGGACATGATAGCAGTGTTCCAATATCTCAGGGGCTGCCACAAAGAAGAAGGAGTCAAGCTATTTTCCAAAGCGCCTGAAGGCAGGACAAGAAGCAACGGATGGAAACTAATCAAGGAGAGAAGCAACCTAGAACTAAGGAGAAACTTCCTGACAGTTAGAACAATTAACCAGTGGAACAACCTGCCTCCAGAAGCGGTGAATGCTCCAACACTGTAAGTTTTTAATAAGAGACTGGACAGCCATTTGTCCGAAATGGTATAGGGTTTCCTGCCTGAGCAGGGGGTTGGACTAGATGACCTTCGAACTTTATTATATTATTATTATTATTATTATTATTATTATTATTATTATGGATCATCGCACAGTCAGCCAGATGTTCAGACTGGATTTGGCATTTTGTCTACCTATCAAGTCCTTACCAAGGACCTGGGATAGGCAGATATGGATGTTTGATGGTATTACAGATATCGTCGCAAGATGGAAGCAGTTCCTAGTAAGGCCGCCTTTTGCAATTGATTAATGGCAAATTTTTCAATGCCAATGGTGTTCAAGTGGTGCTCCAGTTGTTTTGGGATTGCACCCAAGGTGCCTATTACTATTGGTACCACCCTTGCTTACTTTTGCCACAGTCTTTCTATTTCTATTTATAGGTCTTTGTATTTTGTTATCTTCTCCAGTTCTTTCTTGTCTATTCTGCTGTCTCCAGGCACTGCCACGTCCACTATCCAGACTTTTTTGTCTTTCTTATCGACAATTGTTAAGTCCGGGGTGTTATGTTGCAGGTGCTTGTCTGTTTGAATTCTGAAGTTCCAGAGCAGTTTAATTTTTTCATTTTCTATGACTTTCTCTATTTTATGATCCTACCAGTTCTTGCTTACAGGCAAATGATATTTCTTGCAGATCTTCCAATGCACCATTGTTGCTACTTTGTCATGCCGCTGCTTGTAGTCAGTCTGTACGATCTTCTTGCAGCAGCTTACCAGGTGGTCCACTGTTTCTTCAGCTTCTTTGCATGGGCAGCACTTACTGTTTGTTGCTGTCTTCTCAATTTTGACTTTATATGCATTTGTCCTTAAGGCTTGGTCTTGTGCAGCCAGAATTAGTCCCTCGGTCTCTTTCTTCAATTTTCCTGCTCTTAGCCATTGCCAGGTCTTGTTATTATCTGCTTTCCCAGCTATTTTTTTTAATGTACTGGCCATGTAGTGCTTTGTCTTCCGATGCCTCTATTCTGTTCTTCATTTGATCTTTCTTGTAGGCCAGTTTGGTCTCTCCAGTAGTCAGTAAGCCTTCCTGATATACTAATTTCAGTGCATCTTCATCACTGTCCTTCAGATATTCTTCCAAAGCCACTTCTTCTTCTTCAACCATCTGATGTACTTGCAGCATTCCACACCCACCTTTATTATTATTATTATTATTATTATTATGCAATCAAACATCTACAATATAAATTTAAATACTTTTAATGGACCAGCCCTTGAAGAATTCTGGAACCTGTAACTGACTCAGTTACAGCTGTTCTGGTAATGGTTAAAATTCTGGTAATGGCCATATAAACCTCTTAGTGAAATGCCATCTGCCTTTTAAGCCCAATCCAAAGTGTTTAGTTTGATACATGACAGTTTACATTGCTTAAGTATGCTAGCTGTGGACCTCTTACTATTGAGTGGTATACAGGTAGTCCTCGACTTACTATACAGGTAGTCCTCGACTTATGACAATTGACCTCAAAATTTCTGTTGCTAAGACAGTTAAGTGAATTCTGCCCCAGTTTGATTTTCTTGTCACAGATGTTAAGTGAATCACTGCAGTTGATAAGTTAATAACATGGTTGTTAAGTGATTTCCTTCCCTATTGACTTTGCTTGTCAGAAGTTCACAAAAGGTAATCACATGACCTCCAGGATACTGCAATGGTCATAAATATGAACCAGTTGTCAAGCATCCAAATTTTGATCATGTGACCATGGGGATGCCGCTACAGTTGTAAGTGTGAAAAGCGGTCATAAGTCACTTTAGTGCTCTTCTAACTTCGAACGGTCACTAAATGAACTATTGTAAATCAAGGAGTACCTGTGTCTTCAATCTTATTGGAGCATCCTGCATACCTTCAACATCAACAGCATATTCTCCTTTTGTAGTAGAGCTCTGATTTTGGACCTAATATTAAAATGGGAATATTATCTTCCTATAATATTTGGAAGAGGCTTTAGAACAATTTTACTTGGCTTGTAAAAGGTGTCAATGACATTAATAGCATGGGGCTTCATTTTACGTGTACTTTGACTCTTTTCAAGCCATACAGAGCCATTTGTTGTACTATGTATTAGATTTGCAGCTTTTGTGCATATTTGTGCTTATTTTTTGATAATCTTGCAGCAATTATAATGTAATGCCAATTACAAACATGAAGATATTAAATATATTAACAGAAGGACTTACTTCCTAAAGAAATAACAAGATCTTAGAATAATTGAGATTTACTTTGACAAATCTGTTTTATTTTAAAAAATTCACACACATAAACACAGACACAAAGCTGCTAATTAAGGGAAGAAAAAAAAGTGCACCGCAGTTCTGATTATTTGCAATATCTATCAGCTTTCAGTTTTGATCTCCTAAAAAAGAAAGGAAGAAAAGGATGGATTAGAATGCTTCACATAATGCGATTGGGATTTAAGCAGAATCAATGGGAACGATTTCTACTAAAGCTACATCATTTGTCATTGATATAAGTAGGAGTGTGCCAGATGTACCATTCTGAAATGTATCAAATGTGAAATCTAGCAACATAAGCAAATTGGACTGTTGTGGGATTTTTGACAGTAGTTTTGAGCTTGTCATGCTTCCAAAAATACTTGAAACAGCCTGCTTTATACTCAAAAATATATATTTTGTGAAACATTGTGATCAAAACATTTAAAATCGTAATGTTTAAAAATTGGCATGGCAAACTTTTTAGATTATGCAGATGAAGATGTAAACATGATGGTATATATTGTTTTTAGAGGAACACCATTAGTCAATGCTTTTGTTTGAAAATTACTGAAGAGCAAAACCCAACTGTCAACTCCCACAATGAATCCTCAAATTGGTTCACTACAAATAGTCCTCAATTTACAACAGTGCATTCAGTGACCATTCGAAGTTATAACGGCAGTGAAAAAAGTGACTTATGATTGTTTTTTATACTTATGACTGTTGCAGCATATCCATGGTCACGCGATCAAAATTCAGATACTTGGCAACTGACTCTTATTTATGATGGTTGCAGTGTCCTGAATCATATGATCATCTTTTGCAACTTTCTGATAACCAAGTCAATGGGGAAGCTATCTGAATGATAGGCTATCTGAATGATTTTTGTATAATGCTTTTCTTTCTCTTTTTACTTTTTATTTCATCATAATATCAAACTCACTACCACCCAAGATGAGTAATCTTAAATGCTTCCAAAGTATTGATTGCAAATTTCAGATGGAACACAAATTGAGAGAATTGCGCTGCTTTGTTTATAAGAGCCATGATTGTTTTATTGTTTTGAATATTTTTATTGGGAGGATTATTGTATTTAAGATAGTGATATAAATTTAGTAAATATAAATTAAGCAGAAAAAGTATATATTTACTCTTCTATTTGTATGTAGAATATTTTTGTATAAAATTTGTGCTGCACAAATATGTAGTTTAGGAAAAGCTACACAAGACCCTCTATCCTGTAGTTAAGAAAATGATTGCTTTGTGATTGTTAATTAGTTTGGTTCAAATAATTTGATCTAGTTGTTAAGTCATTAGGTTAGAAACTAGGAGACTATGAGTTCTCGTCCCACTTTAGGCATGAAAGCTGACTGGGTGACTTTGGGCCAGTCATTCTCTCTCAGCCAAATTCACCTCACAGGTGGGGAAATTATGACGTGGAAGGAATATTGGTATGTTTGGCACTTTGAATTGTATATGGTAAAAAAAGAGATAAACAAAATAATAGTATATAAATAAATAAGTATATAAATAAGAGTACCTGTCCAGCAGTGCTTCATGGAAAATGCCTTCTTTCCTAGCTTTTTTCAGAATTTTGCTATCTTCTTGGCTTACTTTGAGTTTGTTATCTTGAAAACTCTGAAACTTCTTCCTAGAAAATAAAACACAAATGCCTTTGGCTTGAATGATATATATATATTTCTCTCTACTGGTAATCCTTAGTCGTTGACTCCTGAAAGATGGAAGGCAAAAGATAGACCACTGAAAAGCAGGAAAGAAATGTCAGAATAGTTGGGTGAATTCTCATTGTACAGAAATATTTTAATAGAATAAAAAAAAGTCTTGTAAAGATTAACTTTTCCAAGAGCTATAGACTATAAAGTATCCCTTGGCACAGAAAAAAATGGAAACTGGAGTCAAGTCAGAGGTCAAGTAAAGAGTCAATCGACTTGCTTGTCCTCCTAACTGCATAGATTATACAGTACAAAGACAGAATTAAATGCAAACCAGAACAGAAGAAGAAATCTTACAACATGTACTGCAGTTCTTACCTAGGAACATTAGCAGCATATGCCAGAGAAGGCAAGGTCCATGATTTAATCAAAGGGATGTGGTATTGGGGAGGAATGTTGCACATATGTGCAGAACAAACCTATTTAAGACATCTTAACAGTAAAATAGCTTAAAACAATCCACCCATTTATGGATAGGCCCCAATGATAAACCTTAAGATAAGTTGGTAAAAAATATCTATTTTGCATTTAGCTGCAAAAGTTTTTATTTTGTTCTATGAAAGCAAGTTGTTCTTCAAAACCAAATCTTCCCTATGTTCAGTTTTGAGCCCTAGCAGCAGCTGAAGCGTAACATTTATTCAGACATCCCAGGCCAGAGTTCTTGAAACGTTTTCACCAAAGGGAAAATATCTGTTATTACTAGTGAAAATACAACCTGCTTATCTTTATTTTTTACTGAGAGTGAAGAAATTTATGATACATACACATAGTTGATCTCACATTGCTTTACATTTCCTTTATCTTCCTCAGAAATGTCATCTTTTTGTTTGGCTTCTCTTTCTGTACATGTTCTGATCTAAATGAGGAGAGAAAATTACAGATTCTGAAAAGTCCAACTTCAAATTTATCTTCCTTTCTGGTATTTTTCCTCCACGTTTTCCTATTCAGGTTCACTAATCCTAAGTATGCATCAATCTGTGAAGAATCTGCTTTGATAACATATCACAATAAAGCCCTTAGAAACAGAGCAGCTTTTACTCCACTTGATACATCCCAAGAGTGTTGGGCTCCTATTGCTCTTAGCACACTGGAGAAAAAAAAGACTTGCATAATCCAACACATCAAGATATGCTAGGTTGTGTAAGACTGATTCAAGGAAAATAGATAGCAAGGATTTAGTTTAAGCGCACGATTGTATAACTGTTCTTCCAGCATTAAGTCTTAAACATTGTTGCTGGGACAGACAGAGCCTTTTGCTATGCAACTGCCTGAATATTTTCTGATTTTAAATTTTTCGGGATTCCATCAAGGCATAGGATTCTATCAATTCTGCTATATAAATAAAGGGAAAATACCTTAAATAAAGGGAAAAAAACCTTTAGCTAAAGCTATTTCATCTAAAATTGCTGAGGATCCCATTTTTCTCTCAAGAAAGTACTAAAGTTAAAGCCAATTAAAATGGGCAACCTAAATCAGATGAGAAAAGAAATTTTCCTTGACAGGGTTTCTGAAGAGCAACTGACAATCATAAATGCTGTGTGTTATAGCCAAAATACCAGAAAGGATACATGTGTACCAACCATTTCTTGTAACCATGACCATCTCTGAAGAAAACTAAGATTTTTATGAATTAAGTGATAAGCTACAGGTTTCTGCATTTGTTTATGGTATTCAAATACTGCTTATAGAAGTACCTGCATTTACAAATCACAAGAGTTACCTTTATCATTTCATCATTGCCTGCTGTTTTACTTTTGGCTACTATATCACCTTCTTCATTACAACTGATAAAACAGCTGTTGGCTGCTAACAGAGCCATTTTTCCCTGCAAGGGAAAAAAACAAGTCAAACTAGTAGATTATTTGCTTAAGGTTCACATGCAAGATTTAAAGAAGCTTATTTCTTCAGGAAGATATTTCCATATCCATTTATTCCAAATCCATTAATGTTATTTTTAATCCTGAACACGTATGCATCTTCATGGATTTTGGATCCATAACCATTGCCCCCCATTTTATTAGTGTTACAACACAGCATTTTAGAACACTATTACAAATTTAAACTGAAGTTTACATTCAACAAGTTGACAATTATTTTCAATAACACACTTTTCCAGGTGTCAGATAAAACAGCCATTTCAAAGAATATGTTACAATAAACGTTCCAATAGTATCATTTTGGTATCAGTAACATAAGAAGTCCTCTTATTACAGAATATATTATTTCATCCATTTAGTCCAAGGTGAATCCACACTTTTATGATGTTGATCTCTATTCCTAAATAGAGATAGGTAGGACTGATTCCATTATTCACTTACAGTAAAAGGCATTTGTATATAAGTATTTCTTTGCCAATTTGTGCAAATATCTCTTCCCTGGAGTTGTGAGAAAATGAAAATACCTTATAAACGGGCTACCGAGGAACAGAATCTTGACGTCTAGTTTGACTCATGAGACAGAGGTTTGTCAATCAAGCCCATTAAAATCTTCCCAACCTGAACAGGACTCTTTGGCTAGTCTTCCAATCATGTGCTATTTGATCTGATGTAACTAAAGAGGCTATGAATTGAACACATTAATTTATTTATTGTTCACATGTTTTTGTATGGCCACCCAACTTGCAGAATGCAAATCTGTGTAGCTAAAATAAGATTAAAAACAAGAAAAGATAACCAGCCAGAAGTGTGAGATCACAAAAGAGAAAATACAACTGAGCTCACAATCATATTCATCTTCCCAATTACTTATTACAAAATCAGTCCATCTAACGTCCTGGTCTAATTCTAACGGAAGAACCAGGATTTCAAGATCTTATCGAAGGAAAAAAAAAAAAACTGGGGCCATTTGACTCTCCCGAGCTATGCTATTGCAAAAAGAAACTGTTGCAACAGAGAATGCAACAGAGTATTAACCAGGACACTGATACTTAGAAAGTACCTAAAGTACATTCACCTAGGTACATTTCAATGGATGGGCACAAACAGATATTGGTGGTCCATCAAATAGTTTGTCCTTACGTCATGAAGCGTTTTATAGATGGTAATCAGCCAATATATCAGGGTTGGGAATCTATGGCAACTTTAAGACCTATGGACTTCAACTCTCAGAATTCCTGAGCCAGACAATCCATTTCTTCCAAAGCTTTCTGAAGCTGCAAACCAACCACATTCTCTATAACTTTCCATAAAAAAGAAAAATTGGAGACAAGACAAAAATTGTCCTACAGGGTTGGATTTATTGATAGTTTCTTGAGGAGATGATATACCATCGTCTCTTTAAAAGCTAGCAGATCTCCACTTGCCCTTGAAAAAAAAAGGACATATTCATCCCTGCCTAGATCCAGAACCTTGATGAACCAGGAAGGCTATGAATTTAATAACCATGTGGCTGTACCTATAGTTTTGAGGATTTGTTCACGTCCTCTCTACTAATAGGCTCAAGCCCTTCACAGGTAACTCTGCTAAACCATGCCTCAGTCAACTCCAAGATCTGCACAGCAGAGTCAGGCTCAAAGCAAATCACCGTGACTTTATCAGACACATCTGATACTCTGAATTCTCCTCACAAATACAAAGTACATCCTCTTTTTAAAGATACATTAAGAAGGACAGTGAACATTTTAGAATACTTGCCTCTTGAAACACAGGCTCCCACTGCTCCCTTGCACCTATTGCATCGGAACGTCCAATTACAAGCCCATCTGAATTAATGCCAAGGTATTTTCCATACCCTGATTTCAATGCAATTCTGAAAGAAAGAAAGAAAGAAAGAAAGAAAGAAAGAAAGAAAGAAAGAAAGAAAGAAAGAAAGAAAGAAAGAAAGAAAGAAAGAAAGAAAGAAAGAAATACCTTATTTGGGGGACTGATCAGATTAACACCCGATGACCTCCAAGGTCCCTTCCAACTTTATTATTATTATTATAACACTGGAATTAATATTTTTTCAAATTATGTTCCAGATTACTTGTGGAACCTGTGGTTGCGGAAATACTTATAAACTTCAGACAGGGCTTAAGAGCAGAAATACAAATGGAGGAAGTTCATATACCACATTTAGCCACAATGCTTGATTTTGGTCTAACATGATGTGTGAATCTTTTATTGTGGTTTGTAAGTAATGGCTTAAAGAAAGTAATGTATAGTTTTGGTGAACTAGACATTAATTTAAAAAAGTCATGAATAGCACAATGGGTGAATTCAATTAATAAGTAGCATTTATAATTATGGCTGTTACTGTTAATAATAGCATCTATATCCTGCCTTTTCTTTGGGAGTTTAAGTGAATGATATTTGTAGCATTTTCTTTTCGCTGTGTTGCCATGAAAAAAAAATAGTGAAGTAGTTTCTGCTAAGAAAGAATGACAGCAAAAAGATACTATGATTAAATAGGGATTTGATTCTGGGTTTTCTCAAATCCCAATTGGGTTTAAGAACTTAGAATGGTCAATTTAAGACCATGATTTGATCTTACATTGACCTTTGTAAGTCCTTAAACCCAATTTTCCTATTTCTAGCAGAAACAGAATATACAAGGTAAAACAATAATGCAAGTATTCTTATTTTATGTTACCATTCTCTCCAAACAGAACATGAGCATATGGAAATGTGGCTAGAAGAGGAGGTTATATAGGCTAACCTTCCTTCCCCTGATGACATATCAAACCATCCATTGCATGATCTGAATGAGTCTGAAGGGGCTCTAGTTCATATAATCTTTGTTTTCCTTTCATGTGAGAAACCCCTATGTATACATCCTACATGTGCAGAAACTGCACAATTGAAATTTCTTAGCAGTGAACCTAACCTATAGGATCTCCTTCATGTGTTATTTCTTTTTCTTTTCTTTTTTTTAAACTTTTATTAGTTTTTAACAATAACTATCTCCAGTGCCTGGTGTACAGCATGTTATCTTGGTTTATATATTTGAGAAAGAAAAACCAAAAACCAAAACACACAATAATTAATTGTCAATAATAATTAAAATTTATAATTCCATAATTAGTATATTAATTATTGTTTCTTTGATCTTCCCTTCTCCCATTTGTATTTTTCTTCTTCAACCTTAAACAAATATAATTCTTAATATTTTCAATATATAAATGATTAAATATAGACATTTTTACATATTTATACAAATAGTGATAACATCTATGTATAACATTTTTTTATCAGTTTATATTATTCTTATAACCATCATCTCATTAGTTCACCATGCATCCTATTTTCCTGATTTTTGTTTATGCTTAATTTCCCCTTTTATTCAATCCATTCTTATCAGTCATGGTTTTCTCAATGTTAATCATCTAGATATCCAAATTTTTCCATTTAAATACACCATCCCAATATTTTCATATTTCATGTATTATAAAATTACTGTGCTTCTTATCTATCTTATAACATCTGGGTATAACATCCTTTCTGATCCACTTATATTTCACTTATATTTATAAAAGGTACATCATCCCAATATTTTTACATTTCATATATTGTAAAACATACTACATTACTTAAATCTCTTATCCCTCTTGTTATAGGGCCCCTTTATGTTCAGAGTTCTCTATTCTTTTAACCACATTCAAACAAGTGTTTACTCATGTAATACTCCATCTGGTAGAGCGAGTCAAATCTCTTGAATATGTCTCTAGCCTTCTTCTTATGCTGAATAGTTTTTCAAGTTGATATATTCCGCTTACCCGGCAGTTCCTGTGTTTTTGCAAGTATTGTTGGGAATACAGAATATAGAATAGGTAGGATATATACTTTCTGTCTCCCAAACTCTAATAATTCTCCTGGGAATTCTATAGTCCGCTCCATTTTTATTGTTATATCAAAGTCTTGCAGATTTTTTCATATTTGTTTTGGATTATAATTCTTTTCATTTGTAGCTTCGTCGATATGACAATGTTCTTCCAATTTGTATTCTGTTATCTGATTTGTCTGTTCATTCGCCATCATTTTCTGGGTACTTTCCAAGAGGAAATGTACGCAATGTTACAACAGATACAAATGACAATAGATTTAAACTACGAGGAAATCCAGAACAACTATGACAACATAAATAAGCATATCGCCAATCTAAATCTACAATCAAAAAACACCTTCATATGTTATTTCAATGTGCACATGCAATGATTCTGTAACTCCCATGGACATATATAAAACTGATATATGTTAATTTCTTAGAGGGGAATATTATTTCTAAACTATGCTTATAAAAGCCATCTAGGGAGAGATAATACAATCTAAATGTGGTAATCTTATATTAATTCAAACTCCAAGAGGAAAAATTACCTTTGATCTGACAGCTTGATTGCAGTGAATTGTTCTGGAGGACTAGGGCCTTCATCTATTTTTTTTAAATAGACATGTTTATTATAGTTGGAGAATTCAATCAAAATTTATTTACCATCTAAGGCCGAAAACAAGAAAAAGACTAGCAATACAGTTAATTATAAAAAGGAATTTAAAAAATGAAAAATTTCTAGCAGTCAATGGCTACGAATTTAAAGTTAAATTTACCAGTTAAACCACTAGGCTAGAAAACAGGAGAGTTTATGGTTGTGGGGAAAATAAGAGCAGGAAAGAGTATTAGGCATGTTTGTCACCATGAGTTACTTATAGCGAGCCAGTGGTGTTGCTGTTAAAGCACCAGGACAGAAATCAGGAAACTGAGTTCCAGTCCCACCTTAGGCATGAAAACCAGCTAGATGACTTTGGGCCAGTAACTCTCTCTTAGCCCAATCCACCTCACAAGGTAGTGGCTGTGAGAAAATTAGGAGCAGTAGTATTAGGTATGTTCACCATCTTGAGATTTATAATAATAAAGATGGGATAAAAATTCTAAATAAATAAAATTATGGAGGAACAGATGGTTTGTAAGTACTAATAAAAAATTGTCAAATATCTTTGAGGTTTCTGAAGAGTGACCACCCAGGAAAAGGGAATGGTCTCCTGGATGTAATGGCAATTAGAAATGTTAACAATTGGAAATACAAAGTATGATCAAAATTCAGTGTTCAACAGGCATTTTTTATAGCTCATATCAAACAAATTCTACCTCCAAGTCTGAAAAGGAACAAGTCTGGCTTTCAAATGGGAGACTTATATATCTACCAATTGTTGCCGTACTAGGCAACATCGCAATCTGGGCCAAAATAAATAGTCTCCTGTGTAGACTGCATAACATGTTAAAGAAGTATCAAGCGACAGTCCAGGGAGTAGAAGCAATTGTGCTATAAAGGGAATGAGACATGACATTGGCTCTGTCATTTTGGATCTCTAAATTCTCAAATCTTCTCACAAGTCACAAAGCAGGTAGTGCTGACAAAGTGAGACTATGGTATGCCAAACCATCAATCATTTGTTGTCTTAGGTGGAACTGAGCCTAAGATGAGATGGCCTAAGGAAGCTCCCCAACAGACTTGCTTCAGCCAGAACCAAAGACACCAAAGTTAATCAGACTCCAAGGGAAATGAAGCCTAATTCCAGTAGTGTTAGAGAATTGGAAGTTGAATAAGGAACTGGTGGCAGGATTTCCAAGAACTGTCACTGAATTGCTTTTAAATTCCTTATGAATATATAACTGAGCACCATGTAGTATTCAATCTAGAACTTTGGCTTTAAATAGTTTAGTAGTTGCTGTGAGCTGGAGAATTATTTAACAATTACTGATACAAAAGACTCAGAGAATTCACTAAGGACATTAGGAAATTAAAAGTTTATTTTTTCTGATATTTTTCACTACCTATACCTCTCTATAATGCAGTGGTTCTCAACCTTTTTAATGCCATGACCCCCAACCGGTCGTAAGTCGAGGACTAAACCGGTCGTAAGTTGAGGACTTTCCCTGCCCGGGAGCACCGCACATGTGTGGTTCCGCCCCCTGCACCGGCCAAGGCGTAGCTGGCAAGCGGCAGAGACGGAGCAGGCCGACCACCAGCTGGCCCATCCCAAGGGAGGTAAGGCACCCGCCGGAAAAAGGGAAAAAAAATGGCGGACAAAAAAATGGCGGACAGCCTTGCTTGGCGACCCCCATGAAATGGTCGATCGACCCCAAATGGGGTCGCGACCCATAGGTTGAGAACCGCTGCTATAATGTATAACAATAACAAATAGGACTGGTTTTGCATCATGAGATATATAAACACAAATTTGGCACCTACCTAAAAAGGCAGGATGTGGGGTGGCCAAAAGGGCAGAGTTGGGGTGGTGGTGGTAGCCAGCTGTAAGGAGTTAAAAGGAAGGCATTCCCTTAGTTTGGAAGAAAAAGCCTCGGGGCTAGGAGGAACCAAGCTGGGAATGGCTTAGATCAGGATGGGTTTGGGCTAACGACTGATGGAATTTGGTTAATGATAGCAACAGAGACTGCCAGGACTGCTGTTGCTAAGCAATGTGGCACATAACATCCCATTTTATGATGGTATGTGCCACACACCATCAGCCCCAATTGTGGTAATGTCAAGCTCTATCTGTACTTGGTTCTGTATTCTTTTGATGCAACTGGCATGTTAAATGCAGGTAGCAATCTGGACACTACTTTGGCTGTGTTTGTAAGATTAATTTATCATACATTTGGTATCACTGAAAAAAACAGAATGATTACTCTTAACATACATAGATGTGATACCAACCTTTATGTGGAGCTCCAAGAGTAAAGAGGCCATTATCAAGAGCACTGATATAGGTTCCAAAACCCATCTCTATTGCTACAGTTCCTGTGATTTCACCAAAATTGGTTACCGTCCACCAGCCTTCTAACATAAGAGAAAACAACAACACAACAATAAAAGAGCTGGTCTCTATTTCTTAAAATGTAAGGGATTATAATTGCTTAAGGAAAGATTTTGGAAATATCAAGCAACAGCTTTCTTTTGCAACAATTTATTTTAAGGAGAGATCAAAGCTAATGCCCAATCATAGCAGTTAATCAACAGCCTCAGTTAAACACATTAAGTTCTTTATGGGATATCAGATTTAGATTGCAAATCTATGGGAGGCCACAAAAAGATATTTCCCTGTATCTATTCTTCTTTATCATTTTGTAATCTAGTAATGAAGTGTTTAGCTTTAGATGTAGAAATTCTCTTGCCACAACAGCTGAAATAAATAAACATGAAGGCACTGGACCGAGTCGTGCCTTTGCGGCCTCTGACCCGGCGCAGATCTCAACTGGCCCCTTGGTTTACGGAGGAGCTGAGAGAGATGAAACGCCGGAAAAGACGCCTAGAGAGCAGTTGGAGGGCTAGCCGAACCGAATCCGACCGAGCACAGGTAAGGATACATGTTAGATCCTACCTTGTGGCGATGAGGGTGGCGNAATTTATCTTCCTTTCTGGTATTTTTCCTCCACGTTTTCCTATTCAGGTTCACTAATCCTAAGTATGCATCAATCTGTGAAGAATCTGCTTTGATAACATATCACAATAAAGCCCTTAGAAACAGAGCAGCTTTTACTCCACTTGATACATCCCAAGAGTGTTGGGCTCCTATTGCTCTTAGCACACTGGAGAAAAAAAGACTTGCATAATCCAACACATCAAGATATGCTAGGTTGTGTAAGACTGATTCAAGGAAAATAGATAGCAAGGATTTAGTTTAAGCGCACGATTGTATAACTGTTCTTCCAGCATTAAGTCTTAAACATTGTTGCTGGGACAGACAGAGCCTTTTGCTATGCAACTGCCTGAATATTTTCTGATTTTAAATTTTTCGGGATTCCATCAAGGCATAGGATTCTATCAATTCTGCTATATAAATAAAGGGAAAATACCTTAAATAAAGGGAAAAAAAACCTTTAGCTAAAGCTATTTCATCTAAAATTGCTGAGGATCCCATTTTTCTCTCAAGAAAGTACTAAAGTTAAAGCCAATTAAAATGGGCAACCTAAATCAGATGAGAAAAGAAATTTTCCTTGACAGGGTTTCTGAAGAGCAACTGACAATCAGAAATGCTGTGTGTTATAGCCAAAATACCAGAAAGGATACATGTGTACCAACCATTTCTTGTAACCATGACCATCTCTGAAGAAAACTAAGATTTTTATGAATTAAGTGATAAGCTACAGGTTTCTGCATTTGTTTATGGTATTCAAACACTGCTTATAGAAGTACCTGCATTTACAAATCACAAGAGTTACCTTTATCATTTCATCATTGCCTGCTGTTTTACTTTTGGCTACTATATCACCTTCTTCATTACAACTGATAAAACAGCTGTTGGCTGCTAACAGAGCCATTTTTCCCTGCAAGGGAAAAAAACAAGTCAAACTAGTAGATTATTTGCTAAGGTTCACATGCAAGATTTAAAGAAGCTCATTTCTTCAGGAAGACATTTCCATATCCATTCATTCCAAATCCATTAATGTTATTTTTAATCCTGAACACGTATGCATCTTCATGGATTTTGGATCCATAACCATTGCCCCCCATTTTATTAGTGTTACAACACAGCATTTTAGAACACTATTACAAATTTAAACTGAAGTTTACATTCAACAAGTTGACAATTATTTTCAATAACACACTTTTCCGGGTGTCAGATAAAACAGCCACTTCAAAGAATATGTTACAATAAACGGTCCAATAGTGTCATTTTGGTATCAGTAACATAAGAAGTCCTCTTATTACAGAATATATTATTTCATCCATTTTTAGTCCAAGGTGAATCCACACTTTTGCGATGTTGATCTCTATTCCTAAATAGAGATAGGTAGGACTGATTCCATTATTCACTTACAATAAAAGGCATTTGTATATAAGTATTTCTTTGCCAATTTGTGCAAATATCTCTTCCCTGGAGTTGTGAGAAAATGAAAATACCTTATAAATGGGCTACCGAGGAACAGAATCTTGACGTCTAGTTTGACACATGAGACACAGGTTTGTCAATCAAGCCCATTAAAATCTTCCCTACCTGAACAGGACTCTTTGGCTAGTCTTCCAATCATGTGCTATTTGATCTGATGTAACTAAAGAGGCTATGAATTGAACACATTAATTTATTTATTGTTCACATGTTTTTGTATGGCCACCCACCTTGCAGAATGCAAATCTGTGTAGCTAAAATAAGATTAAAAACAAGAAAAGATAACCAGCCAGAAGTGTGAGATCACAAAAGAGAAAATACAACTGAGCTCACAATCATATTCATCTTCCCAATTACTTATTACAAAATCAGTCTATCTAACGTCCTGGTCTAATTCTGAGGGAAGAACCAGGATTTCAAGATCTTATGGAAGGCAAAAAAAAAACTGGGGCCATTTGACTCTCCCGAGCTATGCTATTGCAAAAAGAAACTGTTGCAACAGAGAATGCAACAGAGTATTAACCAGGACACTGATACTTAGAAAGTACCTAAAGTACATTCACCTAGGTACATTTCAATGGATGGGCACAAACAGATATTGGTGGTCCATCAAATAGTTTGTCCTTACGTCATGAAGCGTTTTATAGATGGTAATCAGCCAATATATCAGGGTTGGGAATCTATGGCAACTTTAAGACCTATGGACTTCAACTCTCAGAATTCCTGAGCCAGACAATCCATTTCTTCCAAAGCTTTCTGAAGCTTTAAAGCAACCACATTCTCTATAACTTTCCATAAAAAAAGAAAAATTGGAGACAAGACAAAAATTGTCCTACAGGGTTGGATTTATTGATAGTTTCTTGAGGAGATGATATACCATTGTCTCTTTAAAAGCTAGCAGATCTCCACTTGCCCTTGGAAAAAAAAAGGACACATTCATCCCTGCCTAGATCCAGAACCTTGATGAACCAGGAAGGCTATGAATTTAATAACCATGTGGCTGTACCTATAGTTTTGAGGATTTGTTCACGTCCTCTCTACTAATAGGCTCAAGCCCTTCACAGGTAACTCTGCTAAACCATGTCTCAGTCAACTCCAAGACCTGCACAGCAGAGTCAGGCTCAGAGCAAATCACCGTGACTTTATCAGACACATCTGATACTCTGAAGTCTCCTCACAAATACAAAGTACATCCTCTTTTTAAAGATACATTAAGAAGGACGGTGAACATTTTAGAATACTTGCCTCTTGAAACACAGGCTCCCACTGCTCCCTTGCACCTATTGCATCGGAACGTCCAATTACAAGCCCATCTGAATTAATGCCAAGGTATTTTCCATACCCTGATTTCAATGCAATTCTGAAAGAAAGAAAGAAAGAAAGAAAGAAAGAAAGAAAGAAAGAAAGAAAGAAAGAAAGAAAGAAAGAAAGAAAGAAAGAAAGAAAGAAAGAAAGGAAGGAAGGAAGGAAGGAAGACCTTATTTGGGGGACTGATCAGATTAACACCCGATGACCTCCAAGGTCCCTTCCAACTTTATTATTATTATTATAACACTGGAATTAATATTTTTTCAAATTATGTTCCAGATTACTTGTGGAACCTGTGGTTGCGGAAATACTTATAAACTTCAGACAGGGCTTAAGAGCAGAAATACAAATGGAGGAAGTTCATATACCACATTTAGCCACAATGCTTGATTTTGGTCTAACATGATGTGTGAATCTTTTATTGTGGTTTGTAAGTAATGGCTTAAAGAAAGTAATGTATAGTTTTGGTGAACTAGACATTAATTTAAAAAAGCCATGAATAGCACAATGGGTGAATTCAATTAATAAGTAGCATTTATAATTATGGCTGTTACTGTTAATAATAGCATCTATATCCTGCCTTTTCTTTGGGAGTTTAAGTGAATGGTATTTGTAGCATTTTCTTTTTGCTGTGTTGCCATGAAAAAAAAAATAGTGAAGTAGTTTCTGCTAAGAAAGAATGACAGCAAAAAGATACTATGATTAAATAGGGATTTGAATCTGGGTTTTCTCAAATCCCAATTGGGTTTAAGAACTTAGAATGGTCAATTTAAGACCATGATTTGATCTTACATTGACCTTTGTAAGTCCTTAAACCCAATTTTCCTATTTCTAGCAGAAACAGAATATACAAGGTAAAACAATAATGCAAGTATTCTTATTTTATGTTACCATTCTCTCCAAACAGAACATGAGCATATGGAAATGTGGCTAGAAGAGGAGGTTATATAGGCTAACCTTCCTTCCCCTGATGACATATCAAACTATCCATTGCATGATCTGAATGAGTCTGAAGGGGCTCTAGTTCATATAATCTTTGTTTTCCTTTCATGTGAGAAACCCCTATGTATACATCCTACATGTGCAGAAACTGCACAATTGAAATTTCTTAGCAGTGAACCTAACCTATAGGATCTCCTTCATGTGTTATTTCTTTTTCTTTTTTTAAACTTTTATTAGTTTTTAACAATAACTATCTCCAATGCCTGGTGTACAGCATGTTATCTTGATTTATATATTTGAGAAAGAAAAAACAAAAACAAAAAACACAATAATTGTCAATAATAATTAAATTTTATAATTCCATAATTAGTATATTAATTATTGTTTCTTTGATCTTCCCTTCTCCCATTTGTATTTTTCTTCTTCAACCTTAAACAAATATAATTTTTAATATTTTCAATATATAAATGATTAAATATAGACATTTTTACATATTTATACAAATAGTGATAACATCTATGTATAACATTTTTTATCAGTTTATATTATTCTTATAACCATCATCTCATTAGTTCACCATGCATCCTATTTTCGTGATTTTTGTTTATGCTTAATTTCCTCTTTTATTCAATCCATTCTTATCAGTCATGGTTTTCTCAATGTTAATCATCTAGATACCCAAATTTTTCCATTTAAATACACCATCCCAATATTTTCATATTTCATGTATTATAAAATTACTGTGCTTCTTATCTATCTTATAACATCTGGGTATAACATCCTTTCTGATCCACTTATATTTCACTTATATTTATAAAAGGTACATCATCCCAATATTTTTACATTTCATATATTGTAAAACATACTACATTACTTAAATCTCTTATCCCTCTTGTTATAGGGCCCCTTTATGTTCAGAGTTCTCTATTCTTTTAACCACATTCAAACAAGTGTTTACTCATGTAATACTCCATCTGGTAGAGCGAGTCAAATCTCTTGAATATGTCTCTAGCCTTCTTCTTATGCTGAATAGCTTTTCAAGTTGATATATTCCGCTTACCCGGCAGTTCCTGTGTTTTTGCAAGTATTGTTGGGAATACAGAATATAGAATAGGTAGGATATATACTTTCTGTCTCCCAAACTCTAATAATTCTCCTGGGAATTCTATAGTCCACTCCATTTTTATTGTTATATCAAAGTCTTGCAGATTTTTTCATATTTGTTTTGGATTATAATTCTTTTCATTTGTAGCTTCGTCAATATGACAATGTTCTTCCAATTTGTATTCTGTTATCTGATTTGTCTGTTCATTCGCCATCATTTTCTGGGTACTTTCCAAGAGGAAATGTACGCAATGTTACAACAGATACAAATGACAATAGATTTAAACTACGAGGAAATCCAGAACAATATGACAACATAAATAAGCATATCGCCAATCTAAATCTACAATCAAAAAACACCTTCATATGTTATTTCAATGTGCACATGCAATGATTCTGTAACTCCCATGGACATATATAAAACTGATATATGTTAATTTCTTAGAGGGGAATATTATTTCTAAACTATGCTTATAAAAGCCATCTAGGGAGAGATAATACAATCTAAATGTAGTAATCTTATATTAATTCAAACGCCAAGAGAAAAATTACCTTTGATCTGACAGCTTGATTGCAGTGAATTGTTCTGGAGGACTAGGGCCTTCATCTATTTTTTTTTAAATAGACATGTTTATTATAGTTGGAGAATTCAATAAAAATTTATTTACCATCTAAGGCCGAAAACAAGAAAAAGACTAGCAATACAGTTAATTATAAAAAGGAATTTAAAAAATGGAAATATTCTAGCAGTCAATGGCTACGAATTTAAAGTTAAATTTACCAGTTAAAGCACTAGGCTAGAAAACAGGAGTTTATGGTTGTGGGGAAAATAAGAGCAGGAAAGAGTATTAGGCATGTTTGTCACCATGAGTTACTTATAGCGAGCCAGTGGTGTTGCTGTTAAAGCACCAGGACAGAAATCCGGAAACTGAGTTCCAGTCCCACCTTAGGCATGAAAACCAGCTAGGTGACTTTGGGCCAGTAACTCTCTCTTAGCCCAACCCACCTCACAAGGTTGTGGCTGTGAGAAAATTAGGAGTAGTAGTATTAGGTATGTTCACCATCTTGAGATTTATAATAATAAAGATGGGATACAAATTCTAAATAAATAAAATTATGGAGGAACAGATGGTTTGTAAGTACTAATAAAAATTTGTCAAATATCTTTGAGGTTTCTGAAGAGTGACCACCCAGGAAAAGGGAATGGTCTCCTGGGTGTAATGGCAATTAGAAATGTTAACAATTGGAAATACAAAGTATGATCAAAATTCAGTGTTCAACAGGCATTTTTTATAGCTCATATCAAACAAATTCTACCTCCAAGTCTGAAAAGGAACAAGTCTGGCTTTCAAATGGGAGACTTATATATCTACCAATTGTTGCCGTACTAGGCAACATCGCAATCTGGGCCAAAATAAATAGTCTCTTATGTAGACTGCATAACATGTTAAAGAAGTATCAAGCGACAGTCCAGTGAGGAGAAGCAATTGTGCTATAAAGGGGATGAGACATGACATTGGCTCTGTCATTTTGGATCTCTAAATTCTCAAATCTTCTCACAAGTCACAAAGCAGGTAGTGCTGACAAAGTGAGACTATGGTATGCCAAACCATCAATCATTTGTTTTCTTAGATGGAACTGAGCCTAAGATGAGATGGCCTAAGGAAGCTCCCCAACAGACTTGCTTCAGCCAGAACCAAAGACAGCAAAGTTAATCAGACTCCAAAGGAAGTGCAGCCTAATTCCAGTAGTGTTAGAGAATTGGAAGTTGAATAAGGAACCGGTGGCAGGATTTCCAAGAACTGTCACTGAATTGCTTTTAAATTCCTTATGAATATATAACTGAGCACCATGTAGCATTCAATCTATAACTTTGGCTTTAAATAGTTTAGTAGCTGCTGTGAGCTGGAGAATTATTTAACAATTACTGATACAAAAGACTCAGAGAATTCACTAAGGACATTAGGAAATTAAAAGTTTATTTTTTCTGATATTTTTCACTACCTATACCTCTCTATAATGTATAACAATAACAAATAGGACTGGTTTTGCATCATGAGATATATAAACACAAATTTGGCACCTACCTAAAAAGGCAGGATGTGGGGTGGCCAAAAGGGCAGAATTGGGGTGGTGGTGGTAGCCAGCTATAAGGAGTTAAAAGGAAGGCATTCCCTTACTTTGGAAGAAAAAGGCTCGGGCTAGGAGGAACCAAGCTGGGAATGGCTTAGATCAGGATGGGTTTGGGCTAACGACTGATGGAATTTGGTTAATGATAGCAACAGAGACTGCCAGGACTGCTGTTGCTAAGCAATGTGGCACACAACATCCCATTTTATGATGGTATGTGCCACACACCATCAGCCCCAATTGTAGTAATGTCAAGCTCTATCTGTACTTGATTCTGTATTCTTTTGATGCAACTGACATGTTAAATGCAGGTAGCAATCTGGACACTACTTTGGCTGTGTTTGTAAGATTAATTTATCATACATTTGGTATCACTGGGAAAAACAGAATGATTACTCTTAACATACATAGATGTGATACCAACCTTTATGTGGAGCTCCAAGAGTAAAGAGGCCATTATCAAGAGCACTGATATAGGTTCCAAAACCCATCTCTATTGCTACAGTTCCTGTGATTTCACCAAAATTGGTTACCGTCCACCAGCCTTCTAACATAAGAGAAAACAACAACACAACAATAAAAGAGCTGGTCTCTATTTCTTAAAATGTAAGGGATTATAATTGCTTAAGGAAAGATTTTGGAAATATCAAGCAACAGCTTTCTTTTGCAACAATTTATTTTAAGGAGAGATCAAAGCTAATGCCCAATCATAGCAGTTAATCAACAGCCTCAGTTAAACACATTCAGTTCTTTATGGGATATCAGATTTAGATTGCAAATCTATGGGAGGCCACAAAAAGATATTTCCCTGTATCTATTCTTCTTTATCATTTTGTAATCTAGTAATGAAGTGTTTAGCTTTAGATGTAGAAATTCTCTTGCCACAACAGCTGAAATAAATAAACATGAAGGATCTATAAATGATGACGATCGACACCTGATGTACAGATTCAAGTATTCAATCTATCGAACTTCATAACTCTTAATGTTATTTTACGACACTAACAATATGAGTATTTCAATAGTATTTTATACCTTTCATATCTGTGTCAAGACACTGATAAAAGTAATACGACTCTGAGGTTGGTAGTATTATCCGAATACAACATAATAAAAAATTAACCACAAAACATGATATATTAACTGTTTAAGAGAGGGAGGTATGTCCCAATCAGCTAGAATTTCAAATTTATTTAAACATTAATCTTTCTTTGGTCCCTAATTAAGAATTCCCATATTTTTCCATAAAAAATAACTTACCAACTATATCAAGTTGAGCTTCTATATCCTCTTCTCTTTTACGTTTTTTATCTTTATTTTTTTTCTTACTGAAAGAAAAGTGAACATTTGCATGCAATAGATAATTCTAACCAATTTACTATTGCACATTTCTTTCTTAAATGACAGCAATACTCAACAGAATAGCAAGCACATGTCCAAGATAAATGCTGAAATTCAGAACTAATTAACTAATTTTTTTATCTAGAGGCACAACTTCCCAAATCCTTTCTGAATTGCTCTTGCTTAAATATCAGTGTTCCCCAGAATCTTACATGTAAAGAGAAAGGCTATATATTATAAATCTATCCTGTTGTTTTTTTTGAAACTATACATAAAATAGCAGAATAATCCATTATACAGAGGTCTTTATATCCTAGCCTTAGTCAAGTCTTTACTGTCCTAAATATAGACCTCTGGACAGTGGCTTAGGTTTATCAATAATGCAAATTTCATTTCTATAAATATTGCCAAAATATAACCAAAACCAAATTAGGAGCAAAAAGAACTCCAATGTAATTAACTATAGTTTACTTAACAAGAGGCTATAAAAAGTAGTTGGCTGAATTTAACCTCTACTAAAACTTAAGCAGTACTGTGCTTTCTTTTGAGCTAAAATCTGATTTAGGAGAAATAGTCTGATGTAGTGGTTAAGGCACCAGGCTAGAAACTGGAAAACTGCGGAATTCTAGTACTGCCTTAGGATAGAAGCCAACTGGGTGACCTTCAGACAGCCACTTTCTCTCAGACCTAGGAAGGAGGCAGTCACTTCTGAAAAACCTTGCCAAGAAAACTTCAGGGATTAGTCCAGGCAGTCAGTCGCTAGGAATCAAAAGATTGACTCAAAGATACACACACAAATTGAAGGATACGAAATGTACTATTAAATCCCCTTTTAAAGGCAGCGTTAATTGCATTTTTTTTACAGTTTAAAAAATTGTAGTTAAAAAAATACACCGGATTTTAAAATTTGTTGAAAACGACACAGCCTCCTTTAATCCCAGCTGCACGAGGAGATTTTTCTCAAAAGCGAGGGAAGGACATTTGCGTATGCTCAGAGGCATTTAATCATTATTTCAGGGTGAGCACTACAAACCGCATCCCAGGGAAATATATCAACTACACTTTCTGGAGGAAAAGGGAAAAACCCATCATCTCCTTCGCCACTCCACAATCCTGAGGAATAATACATTCACCTTTTCGATTTCGCCCCCTTAAGAACCAGTTTTGTTTTCTTAACGCAGGAATATTCCGCCATGTCGCTGGCGTAGTACGGGGGCCGCAGAAGGACAAACTCTGCCTTTCCTTCTTCCTGCGCCTCTACGAAGGCTGCGAAGGCAGACCTTCGGGCCTTTGCGGATCTTCGGACTGAGCATGCGCATTGCAGGCATCGACGCTTCTTACCTGGCGAAGGGCGCCTGGTCCGTTGAGCTTATGCGGTGTCCCCCGAAGCTTAGAGGGGAGGCTGTTTTCATGCTTGCGATCTTATCAGCTTCCTCCTCTTGTCTAATGGTCTCACTAGGGAAGCGAGGCAGATACCACATGTTTCCTGCAAAAAACCAGTTGACGATTAAATAATAACAAAAGGATCTTTGGTGCCATTTAGAAATCCTCTGGATTTTTGCAGGTAGCCCCTGAGTTAGGGGCAGCTGAACTTAAACCCCGGCGTCTTAGTCATCTTCCTAGGATGCTTCCATACCATCCAGAGATTCCCATCCGTCTACCCTAGCGCCTGGATAAAGAGCCAGATCTTGATGGCCTTCCGGGAGGCTAAAAATGTTGGGGGTCTGATCTATCTGATGGTCAGGGGAGGGTATTCCACAAGGATGTCTGGCGTTTGCTGCCCGGTAAAGTAGTAAACTTTCACCACAATGGCTGTTTCGCAGAGACTGAAGCAAAGGAAGGGGGGGGTGACAACACGTTTTTTCTGTCTTTTTATTGTTTGCATGCTTACTAATGATCCAGTAAATGGTCCAGCATGTTAGCATTAAGTCCTAGAAATGAAACGCAGCATCTCTGGATGATGTTCCTCTTGCCCCTCTTTCAAAACTGGCTGATGCTTTTACAAGTTACAGGAAACCCTGTATTCTTGCAGAGTGTTTGCTTTGTGGGGGTTAAAGAGAATATAGTTCTGCTCAAACAGAAGTGGAGTTTTATTCCAGATTCTCTGAGGCCTTGGCAATGTTCCTTTGGAAGGGGTCACAGCTTCCTCCTTATCGACTTCCGCAGATGTTGGATTGCTGAGGGAAAGAGCAGAAGAAAGATCATACATAGTTGTTGCTTCTTGTTGCTATGCTGTGGCTTTTGCCTCCTTTGACAATACTTGAAGGTTTCTCTCTACCATCTTTCTTCAGAAATGGGACCCCCTCCCAACCCTGTTTTTTTGATCTTTCCAACTTTTTCCAGCAGGTGTTGCTGTTACTATAAAAATCTGGAATTGGAAAAGAAAAAAACCATTCACACTGTAAGAGTGTTTTTCTTCCACCCCAAAGAATTATTGAAAGGAATTATGGAATTTATGCTCAAGCCATTCACATTAAGAGCGACCTAACATTATTCTAAGTGCAAAATTCTAATTAATTACAGAATTGCACTGTGAGAAATATTAATTTAGCACAATAATGGTTATATTACATACCATGGAACTTTGATGTTTCTTAGGAAATTAACTAAATTTTCCTGAAGCATAATAGTATGTATGCTTTCTTTCAGGCCTAGTTTAAGGGACCTGGAACAGTAGAAAGATGGGGCAAAACTACAACAGTCTGTCTCCATCATTCTGATCATGAGAGAGAATCTTGTGTTTATCTCAAACCAATGAGATTTCCTGGAAGGTCAGCTGCCTCTGGCTACTTCAGATAGGGATAGTGGATTTTTTGACCCATTTGCCAATGATCTGCGGATCATGAGCCCTTAACCACTCCAATCCCAGCACCATTGGAAAGTGGGAAACGGTAGCTACATAGAACACGGCTTCTTCCACATGCGGCTCAATACGCATGTGAAGGTCTGGTCGCAGCAACCACTGGGCCGGAATGAAGGGGCCGCCCATCAACCGTCTCCACCAAGACCGGCGGTGACAATTGCTGCTGGGGAATGGACCACTGCATGGCAAAAGCTGAGTCCATGAAATTGGCAGTAGCCCCTGACTCCACCAAGGCGTGGACCTCCACTGCTCCTTGACCAGGCACGAACACAGTCGCTGGTAACACAAGGTGCTTAACAAGAGTCTGTTGAGGTGGAGGTACTGGACCTGTTTCCAAGCAAACCCGGCCTATGGAACCCTCTATGCCGGGCCCGGCCCGTTTCCCGCCGCTGCTTTGGGTGCCTTCACAGGACACTTGGCTGCCATATGGCCTGGACTGCCACAATACAGGCAAAGGCCTTCACGGTGGCGGCAATCTTTTTCAGCTTGGGTCAGTCGAGGTTGTGCAGCCCCCAACTGCATTGGCTCATCTGGAGGCGGTGCCAATGGTGCCACTGTCTTAACAGGTGTGGGCAAGGCCTCCATCCATCATCGCACCCATCGCTGCTGGAGTCTTGCATCGATACGGAGACACAGGTGCATGAGCTCCTGCAAGGAGCGAGGGCATTCGGTGCGTGCCAGCTCATCCAAGAGTTTGGATGAAAGTCCTTCCTGAAACTGGTCCATAAGTGCCACCTCGTTCCACTACAGTTCCTGACAAACCACCTGAAACGTAGCAATGTAGTCTGCCAGTGAACCACGCCCCTGCTGTAACTCTCTCACCCGACAGTTTGCAGTCTGGGCCCTAACAGGGTCCTCAAACATGGCCTTGAGTTGCCGGCAAAACTCTGCATAATTGTCCAGCAGCTGATTGGGCTGGGTCAGCAGGGGTGTTGCCCAACGTGCTGCTGTTCCTGTCAAAAGGTTTATCACAAACCACACCTTATCCCGGTTAGTGGGGAAGTCCTCAGGCCGAAGGCTCATACACAACTAGCCCTGCCCAAAGAACAGTGGGAATTGTGCCTGTGACCCATCAAACTTTTCTGGCACTGTAACAGGGCTTCTGTGGCGTGGCCGAGCTGTTCACATCTGCACCATCTGTGCAGTCAGGAGGGCCACCTGCTGTTTTAACTGATCATTTTCCGCACGTAGCTGATCCATGGTCACCCAAATTGATCTGGAGGAGCAATTGGGAACAAAATGGGATGACCCAGAGCCCCGAACGGAGGCAAAGCAGTTGGCTGGCAAGAGCAACAGTCTTTTAATCACTGCCAATGCTCACCCAAAAGCTCCCACACATGCTGGCACGAGTTCAAACAATACAGCCAGGGAGGTTTACACTGTTCTCAAGGCAAGACAGATAACAAGAAAACGTAAAGAGTCCTAACTCTCAGCCTGCCTGCAAACTGCAAACTGCAGACTGCAAGGAGAGATCAGGAATGTAGTCTGTAGTCATGCAGCAGGAAACAAACTGGTCCGGAATACAAAGTGCCCAGGTTACAAGAGCACAAGTCACAACAATCTCAAGATCCTACGTTTGTTCCCAGCAAATGCCCCACCCCACAGCGTCTCCTTAAATCCTAATCCCCAGGTGTGCCTTGTGGAGTGGGGTGGGACGCTCTCCTCCCGAGCAAGTGAGCCTGCCTCTGTTGTTCTCTTCTCCTCTCTGCTCTCCTTGCTCTAGGATCAGGTGGGGAGGGGCCTTGCTCCTCGCCTGAACTCTGCCTTCCCTGTTCCAAACCTGAAGGGCCCTGGCCTGCCTCAGCCTGCTCCTCCCTACAGTCCTCCGAAGCCACAGACACCCCCTCCTGGGCCTCAACAGAGAACTCCATGTCTTCCTTGGAGTCAGGCTCAGACGGAGGTGTGACACTATTCTCCCCCTGCAGGACCCCCTCCCCCGGGACCATGCAGACTGAGACGGTGCGGGAACCAGGTATGAAAGTCATGGACCAGACGAGGGGCGTGAATGTCGGTGGCATCGACCCACGTGAAGTCCTCAGGTCCATAGCCTTTCCATGCCACGAGATACTGAAACCGGCCCTGCAACTGACGGGAATCCCGAATACTGTCCACTTCATACTCCACATCTCCATGAGGGGTTGTCGGACCTGCGGTGGTGGAGCCGGTTGATGTGGATCATCGGTTGAGACTGGAACCAGCAATGACCTGTGGAAAACCGGGTGGATCTGCATGGTCCGGGGTAATGACAAGCAAAATGCTTCAACCGGAAACGGCCCCAAGTAACAGTGATCGAGTTTTTTCGACGGCCGTGCTATAGGCAGGTGCCGCGTGAAAAGCCAAACCCGATCGCCCACAGATAATGGAGGGACCTGGCCTGCCTCAGCCTCCTCCTCCCTACTGTCCTCCAAAGCCAAAGACACCCCCTCCTGGGCCTCAACAGAGAACTCCATGTCTTCCTCGGAGTCAGGTTCGGATGGAGGCATGACACTGCACCCACCCCATTGCCGGCAATGGAAAAAAAGTCACGATACGTCACAACACATCACGTGACGTTGCGAGTTTGACATTCCTGGTCTAGATAATCTTAAGTTATTCTCTGGATATTCCATTCTGAATACATATTTCATTTTGTAGGAATCCATTGATATTAATGTAGGACTGAGTGTTTAGGTGATTGCTTCAAATGTATTCCATTACTACGCCCTCCCAAATTTCTTAAACTGGCCCTGCTTTCTGGAAAAACAGGATGATTGTGACTGCTGAGCAACCACAATAGGGTTGGCAATGTTCTGTGCAATCCATTCTCATTCATATGGAGGTAGAGTTACACTCAATACAATTACTCCTCAAATTATAACCATAATAGAGCCTGCCCATTAGAGTTGTAAGTTGCAGTGGTTCTGAAATGGGTTGGTAATGTAACCCAGCAGTCTCCAACCTTTCTGTATCGGCAGACAGGCAGAAGCAGCAGCCAGGGGAGAGGGAATGACTTTGCGTGCATGCGCCACTTTCACAAATGCAGAGTCATGCACACACTTGCCCACCACTGCGATGGCTCAGTTCCGAACATACCATGGTACAGCATTGGGCCATGCCCCAGGGGTTGGGGGCCCCTGATGTAACCAACTCTATTTTACATTTTTTGCAGTTTGTTAGGCAAACAGTGATCATTATTATCAGGGCAGTTTTGTTGAAAAGTGGAAGTAACTGCCAGTTTTTGGCAAAACAGTTGTAAAGTGCGGGTACATGACTGTATGTTGAGCACCCAAAGTGCAGTCAGGTGACCAGAGGGAGGGGAGCAACTGTCAGAATTTTGGTTAGTGCCCTTTTTCAGAAAGTTTGTAATTTCAAATGGTTGCTAAGCAAGTTATCATAAGTCGAGAACTACCTATAGCTGACACTAGTGTCA